CTAGTGACGGGTGCTCGATCAGCCGGTTGCGCCGTGCCCTTTTGCCGCAGCCGCCGACTTTCCTCTGCCTCGGCTGCTTTCGGTTCACACCACCGCGTTTCCCTCCCTTTCTTTTTAATTTCATCGCACCGAGTGAATTAGTGGCCTGTTCCCCACCGACCGGCCGGCTTCCTTCGTTCGCCGTCGAATAAATGGCTGACCGAGTTCCAGTGAAATCGAGAGTTACTGCATCAACTGTGTTCCCCTGTGTTTTTAAATCGCTGGATTATCGATAATGATGACTCGTGGAATCGGTCGCCTGTGTATAAACTGCGGCAGTTTAAACCTCATGGGTCTTTCTTTTCTCATTAGCTGCGAGAAGTAAGTACACTGGCGTTCGCTTCTGTATTATAGAAGTAATTCCGAGATAAAGTTGCGTCAAGTTTTAATACACAAATGTGTGTCTGATATCGAGAGAATATAAAGCTGCACACCCTACGCTCTCCACTTTTATGAGATTCTCAACCTTGCAAAGCGATGCGACAAATAATCAGCCGACTCAGGACAACTGTTCGTTTGTCCATACCGTCGTCAAAATATGTCGGTAAATTTTGTTAATCTTCGTAATACAGAGGCGCTCGTTTGATTATTTTCCGGCATCAGAAACGCATTGGTTCGCGAACGAGTTTCCGCCCACCACGTCGTCGAAACGAACACCAGCAGCAGCTATACGGGTGTGCCCGTGTGGTTTAAACGAATGCGACGGAACAGCAAGTTTGATTACTTCGTGAAACATTTTACCGCATCAAGCTTTCCTTTGATAGCGCGATTGTGAGCGCACACCGGACACATGGGGCGCCACGTAAGAAAGACAGCAGCGTGGGTGTTTTTCGGTATGTGGAGTAGGAAACGTCCCAAAAGAGGCGTCAGCGTTGTCAGCAAATAGCCGTGCCGCCTCTCGTTAACATTTACATCTCTGATATCGCCGTTTCCGATGCACGAATATTTGCAAGATCTCGATTACGCTTTACACACGCTGTTTATTTAGCCAAGAGCAACTTCTGTCAGTCCCGTAGACATCGTATACACGACATCTTCGATCTACTAGGAATGAACATTTTCCACGTTTTGTTCTGTCTTGCGTACGAGTTTTGGACATTTAAAATCTATTTGTGTTATCGACATCGATCTCCGTGAATTCTTTTAACTATCACTAGACTCCTATCTCGCAGAGTTTGTAGGATATTAGGTACTATCTGCAGAACCACGAGACAGATTCTTTTTTTCCAGTAATTTTCCATGGTGTCAGCAACGAAACGAGTACCGGTTCCAGCTGTTACTTCATATTGTTACCAAGGATCCTTTATACCCTGTAGCTCACGTAGCTTCCATTCCGCGATATCCCTCGGTGTTTCCCCCTAACGTTACCGGTAGTTCTGCAAACATTAGAAAAGTGTTCACGGTCAGCAGCTGCGGAGGGACCGCGGTTGCTGGCCACAGCGGAAACGCAAACGAGATTACGCCGCTATCTGGCCGAGTGTCGGCGACAAAGGAAAATAAGAAGCGGTTTCTGGCGACGTGACGGCAACAATTATGCGACAATTAACGGGCAACGCAATTACCACGCACACTGGCTACCGCAAATTTCCACGGAACCCCTCGCTGAAACCCTACGCTACGTCATTCGAAACCACATGCGCTTACACACGTGCATATACGAAGGCGTGAAGGTTCTTTGCAGTCACGGGGCGAGGGAGGAAAAGCAAAGAACCGCGTTCGAGAGGCAAGTGGAGGATCGAGTCAGGAGGGTTCGACGGGTCGCGAATTGGATGCGTCGAGACAGTCGAACGCAGAAGTTCTTGCGTGGCGGATCGCGAGAGTTCGCGCGGAACTCGCGACCAGGCCGCCGAATCATACCGGCGC